TCTCTCTCCCACCTTTGAATTTGTGGTGGACCCAACTAAATGTACATTTCTTTTGGTTGTTGATAACATGGTTGAGGCTTAAGGGTCATTAGCTAATTTTTTGCCCAAATGCACATTTCATTTGGACACATAATAAAGTAGTTCTTTAAGTTGATTTATTCTTCTATAAATGAGCATTATTTAACCCTCACCCTAAAACTTAAGAAGGAATTAAATTATTCTTAATAAAACAACATGGGTTTTTAATTAGCTAGAGATACAACACATATTTTAAGTAGCAACAAACACTTTTCTCACTTGTTATCATTTTTATGCTTTTCATTTCTAGTTTCTTACCTCTTTCCTCTTGGTTCACACTTTCATCCCTTTCTTCCAAATCAACCCAAAGCTAAAAAGATTGGCTTAAGTACTGGAAAAGGAGCCTAACTTTTACTAAATTCTAATTGAGGTCCTCAACGCTTATTGCACTCAATCAATGTCTTGAACTCATACAAAATCTCAAATAAGGACCCAATTGGATGGAATCTTAACCATCCATCAATTCTCACATGACCATCCGTTGTGGTCCATTACCCCTCAATACGTGGTATGTTGACTATAAAAAAAATATTTTCCAACGTGGCATGTTGGGTGAGATCTTTCCCTCCATGCACTAAGTGGGTCCCACAAGACTCCTTTTCCCACTCTCCTTTTCCATCCTTGACCATTCAACACCTTTGTAATATAGTGTAGAAACCTTAAAACTTTTATCTATAAGTGTGTGAATGGAAAATGACTTTTAAGGACTTCAAAAGTTAATTGGAGGCTTTTATTGCTTGGTGTAGTCTTTTAAACAACTTTTTTTGACATTTGTGTGTGGTTTCAACAGTATAAAGTATGACTATATGGTTTTATTTGAATTGTTAAATTACTTTAAGTTTTTTTATGATTTTTGAATTTGTTTTCTAATTTAAACTTTTTTTGTCTCAATTGGACATGATTTCTTTATTTTTGTTTTGTTAATTTATCACTCTTTTTTTATTCCTTATCACTTATTCTTTATTGTATTTTATTGGATTTGGTGTTTTTGTATGTGCTTTCCACCTATTTTTACAACACGGATGACAGAAAATTGACATTCTTCTATGGAGGAAATTTCATCTAAGTTCTTGATTTGAAGTATGTTGGTGGGGATATATCATATATATGTTCCTAAAAATATTGATGAAGACAAGTTAAGTTATTTTGAGATTCAAGACATTGTAAGGGAGGATATGCAACTAAAATTTACAAGTCTATATTATAGAATTCCTTAAGTTGATTTAGAACATTGATTGGTAGAAATAAAATTTGATGGTGATGCATTACAAATTGCATGGCACTTAACTGAACATGGTTCTGTAGAGGTTTGTGTCTATAATGGACTTGGGCATATTCTATTTGATGCACCTAATGTTATTAATGAGGTTAATGAAGATGTTGATTTAGACTAGTTAAGTTTTGATAATGGTGGTATTTGTGCAAATATAGATCATAGTACTTGAGGTGGATTTTATGTTGAGATAGATGCCTTGAGTGATAAAGATGATGAAGGGCTTATTAGTGTGTATGAAAATCAAGCTCAATTTTGGAGGCAAACACATGCTTTGGATCTTGCAGATGGGATGGAAGTTCCAATAACCCTTGATAAAGGTAAGCAAAAGGTGTATCAAGAAGTAAATATGCTGTTGTTACCCTCAACGACTGTCGTCCCATTCTAGATCCTGTTTGCAGTAGCCACCATCTTGGTAATGGACCACTTTACTCATTAATATATAGTCGACAACTGATAGTTGATAATTGATAACTTGACCTGTGAATAAATTTATTGTTTTTTTTTTTCTCAGGGTTTTATCATTTTGCCATCTTAAACACACATGACATCTCTGGAGGAG